ACCTTAATCTGGTCGTCTCCTAGCTTCAAGCTATTGAGCTCCTGTTGCCTGTCCCGTTTGTCTGGAAGGTCATTTTCCTAGTGGTGTTGACGTTGGCGTGAAGTGTCTTGGGGTATGTCTACACTACAATGTTAGTTCGAACTAACGGACGTTAGTTCGAACTAACATTCATAGCCGCTACACTAGCTCCCCGCTAGTTCGAATTTGAATCGAACTAGTGGAGCGCTTAGTTCAAACTAGGAAAACCTCATTTTACGAGGATTAAGCCTAGTTCGACCAAGGAACTTGCTAACAAGTGACTTCCTTCCCCCTCTCCCATTCGAGATCACCTGGGAGAGGCAGCCAGGCAACAGGAGCTCAATAGCTTGAAGTCCTCTCCCTGTTCCCCATGTGCTACATAAAAATGCACTAATTCAGAATATCAGGATCTTTATATCAACTGCATATGGCAGGCAAGGCAGTTTACAGGCCATTACACTTACTGCAGGGGGTACCTAGTTAAGAGCAACATACATAACCAGGGCTCAACAAATAATACAATCTACTCGCTACAGGCAACCCGGAAGAGCCGGGTTCGAGCGATCTGCGCATGCGCAGATAGCCAGACAGCACAGCTGGCGAGTGGGGCTCACCGCGGTTCGGCGAGCCCTGTACATAACTGTCACATCTCTGTCTGGTCATTCTGATTTTCAGAGCCTCTCTGATTCACAGTGCCCCTCAGCATGCTCTCCTTATTGCCCTGGTGTCTTGCTGTTCATAATTAGCAGCTGGGTGATCTACTTCAACCCCCTCGCTCTGCCAGAGACCTTTCCCCCAGACTTTCACATATATTATGGAGCACACAGCAAACAGCCACAACAATGGGAATATTGCTTTCACTGAGGTCTGACCTAGTCAATAAACTCTGAAAACATCCCTTTAAGCCTCCAAAGGCATGTTCCATCACTATTCTGCACTTGCTCAGCCTTACTCAGCTCCTTAACTGCTGTCCAAATTGCCTGTGTACAGCTTCATGAGCCACAGAAGCAAGAGGTAGGCTGGGTCTCCAAGGATAACTATCGGCATTTCAACATTTCAGGAGTCCATTTACCTGCACATCTACTGTTGTGATCTATGCCATCATTCACCAGCAACACCCCTCTGCTATGTATATTGTACAAAACAGACTGTCTCTACACAACAGAATAAATGGACACAAATCAGACATCAAGAATGGTAACATACAAAAATAAGTGGGAGAACATTTTAACCTCCCTGGACATTCAGTTACAGATGGTAATTTTCAAGCCTGGGAAGAAATTGCATCTTACAGCTTTCTGAAGAGATGGGAGTTCCTAAAGTTGCATGTGTCATGTTCTTTCCTGACCAACCCATGCTGTTGTCAGTGAAATGGCCCTTGTGATTCATCGATGTCTACACCACCACCAAGAAATACCTGTTGTGGTTTATATACGCTTTAGCAAGATGATCTGATGTCAAGATAGAAATATGTTTTCCATCTATTGCCCCACCACAGTTAGGGAACCCCATCTGAGCAAAGCCATCCACTATGTTCTGCACATTTCCCAGAGTCACTGTTCTTCCCTAGCAGAAGGGTATTGACTGCCCTCACTACTTGGATCACAGCATCCCTCACTGTGAATTTATCCACTTGTTTTATAGATGAATGAGCCTCTGATGATATGACTGATGTGATGACAGATCCAACAAAGAAAGCAACAGAATGCCACTGGGCATTACCTGCAGGCCCCAGCTAAAACCTCTCCAACACATCATCAAGGATATATGACCTATTAAATGACGATCCCTTGTTTTCACAGAACTTGAGATACTGGCCAGTTCTCGCTTAGACATCCCCCCTCCCCCGCCAAACCTGAAACACATACTACCAACCACACACCCCAGCAAAGAAACGCTAATCTAGGAATCAGTGCCTGCAACAAACCCTGTTGGCAACTCTGTCCACACATCTACGCTACTGACACCATCATAGGACCCAACCACATCAGCCATATTACAAGGGGCTCATCTGCTACTGTGATATGTGCCATCATGTATCATTCTTATCCACATCCACCCTGACTGAACTATCTCTGTAGCACTTCCATCTCTGTATTCCTACTGTTTCTTTTTTCTTCATGCATCTGATGAAGTTAGTTGCAACTCACAAAAAGCTTATGCCATAATAAAAATGTTGGTTTTAAGGTGCCACCGGATTTCTTGTTGCTAGTACAATTGGAATATCTTTAGAATTTGCTATACAGATTGATACAGATACTTGAGTTTCCTGTAAATGTAGTTATGGTAAGTGCATGGTTCACCACTGAAATCATAAATATGTATTATCCATTTGACTGGATGTACTGTGGGGATAGTTGTTTCTGCAATAGACCAAAATACTGAAATATTTCCTTCAGTTGTGAATGTAAACAGTTTTAAATGGGTAGCTAAATAAATATATTACAATAAAGGTTTCAACAAAAGAATGTTGTTTAATCCTGTCCTAGAAACCATGGTGACTGTAGTTTAATAGCTGTGTACGTTCTCTTGTATTTAGAAAACATTTCCTGTCATCTGCTTTTAATGAGATTTTCTTCTTTTGATTTAGCAGTTGAAAAAAAAAAAGGAGGGGAGGAAAGTAAGATAAGAATTGCCTATTTTGATGTAATGGAACAAAGGAATATTGCCAATGGTTTTTTCTAGTTTAGTTTCTATTACAGGAAAAGCAGGTTATTGTGATTATGGTAAATGGTGGAAATTCATTAAAATAATCTCATTGTCCTGTTAAGATAAATTACTAGTTGGTACTATAGCATCACATTCCTTCCACTATAGCTCTTGTGTCGGTATGGTTTACATTTCTATCCTTTATGCTGAAGGCTTTATTAATACAAATTAAAAACTAATTTCTATGTAAATTGCACTCACATACCAAGTGATGACAATACACTTTTGACAGCAAGGACAGAATCCAGTAGCAAATGATTTTTTGGATGGAGCGTGGGAGGGAGCGTCAGCTGTTCATAGTGGTTACTGTGGCACTAATGCAAACGGATGATGTGACAATACAAATCAACAACAATAATACTCACTGTTGGTTCTGGTCTAGTTAGTGTATATTATCCGCACACATGCAATCTCCAGTTCTTCTGCTTATTTCTTTCCCCTTCATGTTAGATCTGGTGCAGGGGCAGGCCTAGACTAGCTGCCAGCAACTGGTACCCTAGGCAAACCATGCAATCGGCGCCCCCACCTCTAAACCCCTCAATGATATTGTGCCACCATTTGGCACTCCATTTAGCTTGGCTCCCTACGTGACCGTCTAGTTCGCCTATATGGATGGGCCGCCCCTGATTAGGGATATCCAGTGTTGTAGTAGATGGTTAGTTCATGCATCGAGCAGCTTAAAAAGGAAAAAATATTTTTTTATTTTCCAAAGAATATTAATACTTATAATATTAATAAAAAAAAGGAAAAAGATTTTTGGTAATTACATGTAACCTTAGACATATCCTTAACCATACTTGAAAATAAGATCGTCATCTAATCAATTAATCATTGACATTTCTTGGAAATTGGAGAGTGAACTGCCACCACAACTTTTTTTTTCATTACAGTACTGCCTTTTAGCTTAGAAAATGTTTGGTCTCCCTTCTTGTGCCAAAAGCTAATTGAGTAATCTGTATAAACTACAGCAAAGCTTTAACCTATCAAAACACTGAAGCAAAATTCCCTTCAAAGATGTGTTCTGTGTGTATAATCTTAATTTGTTACAATAATGAGCTGTCCCGCCAAGTGTTCTGTACATTGTCAATCAGTCGCTTAGTTTTGGTTTGGTCCCCCTTAAAGGTTTAAGTTAAGCTAAAGCAGCACAAGGCATCTTAAACCTGTTTGTGAAATAGACAAGGGACTGACTGATTTAAACTAAGTTTCTGAACTGATTTGACACAAAAGGCTCGCTTTTTTTTTTTCGTTTTTCTTTCTGATAATGTGATTACTCACAGGAAGGTCCCAGGGACTTTTGGTGTAGTAAAAACTTTAAAACCCACATTCACTCTTTGTAAATGTCTTTCAAAGGTGACCTTCAGAGTACTTGATACTTCTGTTTTTTAGGCTCTGTTTTCTTCTTGATGTAGGAAGAAGGCTTGACATTTTAGCTTCTCTTCCTTCTAATAGAAATATAGTTATTGTTAAGATGTTTTTTGTGTGGAAAACATTATGAATCTCTGGAGAACTAGGAGGATTCTGATCAGGTACCTAGAGAATATTAGAGCAATTGACAGAAGAGGGATTTTTGGTTGCACTGTTCAAAACTATTCTTGTTTAACTCAAACACCTGACAAAGAGTGAATGAGAAGAAGTCTGGAAAATTCCTCTTTGCTTAGGGGGAAAACATTAAATATCTTTTTAGCCCTCATTTTATATATTGGAAAGAAGCAAAATTAGTGCACACTCGGTTGCATGTCACCTTTACATGTATATATGCTTTTCGTCTAGAAGATTAAACTTATTTGCATATGTGTAAATGTTTAACATTCAGTACTGAATAAATATCAAGCATAAGAAGTAATGGACCTGCAATAAACTGCTTCCATTTTCCTAGCTGACAAGTATAAGGCAACCTATACAATTATCTGCTACAAATATAGAATAGCACTGGATTCTCATGCAGATACTTTATCTGAGAGTCTAAATGTAGTTCCATTCTGTAGTCCCCCTCATGAGTTGAAGCACTTCTGTGCAAGAACTTAGTATGATTCCATTTCTGCTGCAGAAACTACAGCTTATCAGTGTTTAAAAGTAGAGAAATATACACAGAGGAAAATGAGGAGAGAACATGACCGTGGAAAAGGCAGAGGGAAGGAAGGATAAGGATTTGGCAATTCTTTGAAATGGGGTTAAAAAAACTGTGCTTTGTAAAAAAAGAATCATCCTGCATACAGATCTGTTTCAGTTCTTGCAAAGTTAAGTTTTGTTTCTTTTTGTCTTTTCTGTTAAAGTGTGGTGTTCCCTTTCAAGAGGAAGATGTGATTATACTTAATGGTAATAAAGAAGATGTTGAAGTGCTGAAGAAACGAATGGAGAATAGAAGACTTAAGAGTAAAGTGGGAAAGGTAATTATTTTACAAAGACTTAAAAGTGCTAGGAAGTTTTGTGTGAGATCTTCTATTAATAGATTTCATAGGTGAAAGTTCAATTTGTACAACTAAAGATTTTTCATTGATTCTCAGCGTGAACTACATTCATTCTAAACTAGCCAGATTTTATTTCTTGCTGCTAAATCTCTTTAGTTCTCATTGGATTATTGACCTGTGTGCTTCAGTTTTATCCAGAACAAATTAAAGTATTAGTAGTTTTCTGGTGACTGTGTTTCTACAGAATTCTTCTGCAGCTCAACAAAACATTTCAAGTGCAAAAAGTTTTGATTTTCTGCTTCCACTTCTGAAAGGTGGAGAATTGGTTCAGTAATATCAACTGTCTATTCCAAACCAAGTCCCAGAAAGATATTTTAATTCTTACAAGTCCAAAGCAACCAATATCAATTCAAGTATATGGCAGCCACTTTGACATACATAATGTAATGTCAATATAAATGATAAAAAAGATAATTGGAAAAAACACAATAGAAATAAATATGTTGAAAAGCATATTTGCAGAAATTCTACATAAAGACTGCTTGATTCTCATTTTGCATAAAAAAGTACATGACTCACTCATGGGACACTGCTACTGGGAGAAAAATACTGCTCGTTACCTGGGTACATGTGCATGATTTCATGGTTCATGATTCTAGTCTGTTTTAAAAAGCCCCCCTGGATATGTAAGGGTATGTCTAGACTACATGGCTCCGTCGATGGAGCCATATAGATTTGTTTATTGGGCAAAGGGAAATGAAGCGGCGATTTAAATATTCGCCCCTTCATTTAAATTTAAATGGCTGCCACGCTCAGCTCTGCTCAGTGCGCTAGTCTGGACACTCCGTGGTCGACATCAAAGCCCTTTGTCGACCACCCCGGTAAACCTCATCCCAGGAGGAATAACGGGGTGGTCAACAAAGGGCTTTGATGTCGACCGCAGAGCGTCCAGACTAGCGCGCTGAGCCAACAAAGAGCTGATCAGCTGTTTGTCAGCTCAGCGCGGCAGCCATTTAAATTTCAATGAAGTGGCCTCCCACTATCCAGGCACCTGTTAGGGTATGTCTACACTACCACCCTAGTTCGAACTAGGGTGGTAATGTAGGCAACCGGAGTTGCAAATGAAGCCCGGGATTTGAATTTCCCGGGCTTCATTTGCATCTCGCTGGGCGCCACCATTTTTAAATGTCCGCTAGTGCGGACTCCGTGCCGCGTGGCTATACACGGCATGGACTAGGTAGTTCGGACTAGGCTTCCTACTCTGAACTACCGTTACTCCTCGTTTCACTTTATTTAAGAGCTTTTGTTGAGGGACCTTGTCAAAGGCTTTCTGGAAATCTAAGTATACTGTATTCACTGGATCCCCCCTATTTGAGTAGTTGCTTTTAAGCAAGGAAGTGACTACATTTGGATTCAGCATGTATGCAAATGCAGGATTTTTCAAAAATGAATCCAAATGAAAAGGTCATGTCAAAATCTTTCTATAACCTTAACTCCAGAACTGCTAGAATCTGCCATAATATGAGCTGTTTTATGCTTGCTGCTTCTTGCACTTATACCTTCCTTCTACCCTCAGTCCTAAACACTATCCCACCTCCCTGAAGTAAAAGTCATAATTGGCCTAATGAGTCTAAATTGCTGCATCTGCTTATTTTGAAATTAACTGCAGTGCAGTTTTTGCTTTTTTTCAGCTGTTAGTTTTGAGTCATCTTTCATAAGAATGGACATACTGGGTCAGACCAAAGATCCATCTAGCCTAGTATCCTGTCTGCCGACAGCAGCCAATACCAGATGCCCCAGAGGGAGGGATTGCAATAGATAATCCTCATGTGATCCCTCCCCTGTCACCCATCTCCAGAGAAACAGAGACTATGGACACCATTCTACCCATCCTGGCTAATAGCCATTGATGGACCTAACCTCCATGAATCTATCTAGGTCAGTGGTCACCAACCGGTAGATCTTGGAGCCTCTGACGGGTGATCCTGACTGGTTTGGCTGGGAGGCACTTCATCTGCCCTTCTCCCCACTGCCCTGTTGCTCCTACCCAGAGCCTCAGAGGAGCCCCCTAGGAGCTTGTTGTGTAGGGTCGGGGAGATCGAGGCAGGGGGGCATTGATGTCTCCCTGTCCTGCTCCCCTGTAACCTATCTTCACAGAGTGAGGAGGGTGGGGTCTTGGCGAAGGGATGGGACAGAGGCAGGGCCTCGAAGAAGAGGTGGGCCAGGAGTATTTGGGTTTGAGGTAGATCTTGGACTGACAAATTCAAAAAGTGATTTTTTCTTTAAAAAGGTTGGAGACCACTGATCTAGATCTTTTTAAAACTCTGTTAAAGTCCTAGCCTTCACCACATCCTCTAGCAAGGCGTTCCAGAGGTTGACTGTGTGCTGAGTGACAAAAAACTACCTTTTGTTTGTTTTAAACCTGCTGCCTATTAATTTCATTTGGTGACCCCCTAGTTCTTATATTGTGGGGATGAATAAATAACCTTTTCCAAGGCCAATATATCTTTTTTGAGATGAGGCAACCACATCTGTAGACAGTATTCAAGAGCTGGGCGTACCAAGGTTTTATATAGAGGCAATCCGATACTTTCTGTCTTATTCTCTATCTCTTTTTTTAATGATTCCTAACATTCTATTTGTTTTTTTTTGACTGCTGCTGCACACTGAGTGGATGTTTTCAGAGAACTATCCACAATGACTCCAATATCTCTCTCGAGTAGTTGTAGCCAAATTAGTCCCCATCATATTGCATGGATAGTTTGGATTATTTTTTCCCTAATGTGCATTACTTTACATTTATCAACATTAAATTTCATGTGCCATTTTGTTGCTCACTCACTTAGTTTGGTGAGATCTTTTTGAAGGTCTTCACAGTCTGCTTTAGTCTTAACTATCTTGAGCAGTTTGGTATCATCTGCAAATTTTGCTACCTCACTGTTTACCCCTTTCTCTAGATCATTTATAAATAAATTGAATAGGATGGGTCCCAGGACAGAGTCTTGGGGGGAACCCCACCAGTTACCTCTCTCCATTCGGAAAACTAACCATTTATTCCTACTCTCTGGTTCCTGTCTTTTAACCAGTTACCAATCCACAAAGGACCTTCCCTCTTATCCCATGACAACTTACTTTATTTAAGAGCTTTTGATGAGGGACCTTGTCAAAGGCTTTCTGGAAATCTAAGTATACTGTATTCACTGGATCCCCCTTGCCCACATGTTTATTGACCCTCCTCAAAGAACTTTCCTATTCAAAAGCTAAAGAAAATGTCAGAACGCAAAATTAATTCTCTAACCAGGGTAATAAGATTGTTTCTTCAATGCTGTTGTGCTGGAGTTCAGCCATTTGTATTTGGAATGTGTTAATCAGTTATGTGTGTCACTTATCCTTGGTTGCATTTGTTTTTGTATTATTATGATGACTTTTTTCAGTGTCTCTTTAGATAAGGGTTTCTAATAACATAGGAACAGAACTGTACTTGGTACAGTTTGAAAATCCTTTAAAACAGTTGTTTAAAACAGGTGGTTGCTTTCTAAACCTTTACAGATTTCATTCCACAATATTTTACAATAATGTCTTGAGCTCATGGTATAAATAGATTCTGCTAAGAAATGCTAGATAAACTATTACCATTTATAGTAATCCATATTTTACTAATTTGTAGTTGTTGCCAACTACAAGCCATACCAACTAAGAAGACTTATTTTACTGGCACTAGTTTCTACATTTAACTTATTTTCATTCCATCTGAGTAATAACATCTGATATCTAATTTTAGTCTTTGGTTGCTGTTCTTTTCTCCTGAGAGTAGATTGCATCCTATTCTTATCCTTGTCAGCCTGAATTAAAGTAGCATTTTATACAAGATGTATTTAATACAAATAAGGTGTTCTGTATTGCATCTTCTCCTTGGTTCAAGTGGCGCCTCCTTGGTCTTTAGAATTGCATGGGTCACATGCTTCAGAATATACAAATTTGTAATGTAAATTTGAATTAATAAATCTCTTATTTCAATCTACATTTCAGTAGTAGTGCTTCCTCATATAGCTTCAGAAATAAGAAGTTTCCTCATAATGCTAGTTGTTGAAATGGAGATGTGGAAGGGGAGAAGCATGTTTTATGCCTGATTTATTGTAGGTATTCTGCGTTGTTCAAACCCACAAATCTGTGTTGGTTCAATAGTATCAGTAAATATTATTATGGCTCCATCTGCTTCTGTTTAACAGCTCTACTTGGTTATCTGGTTTATAGCAATTTTTAAAATTCACTGGCAAGAAGGCAAGTGTGACAAGCTTGTTAGTTGGGCAGCTAAAGGAATATTCAATGCTAATACCTACCCTGAACATGCAATGTTTGTTCTAAGATGTTAACTCTAATCCATAAATTCGGACTGCTTATTGGATGAAGAACTAAAATGTGAAAGCCTCAGCTGCTGTCAGGTGAGCCATTATCAGATTTAGTGTGCAGAGTTGTCCGTGAATGAGGAAATGTTTTGTTTACATCATCCCTTCTCTCTGGCTGCTCTGTGTTTGAAGCAGACAGCTTATAATATAAAAATCTTTTTTTTTTCCTGAAGCACTCTGATAGTATTCTTGTAAATTTCAGTGTCTGTCTTGTCCATAATTGTGAAGATGAAGGCATAGTGAAGAGAAAGTGCTGTTTACATCCATGTAACAAAATGATAGTAGATTATTTCTGGCTTCATAATGGTGGCCTTTTGCTACCACCTGCTGGACGAGACTAAGAGCAGCATTTGCTATGTCACTTATTTTCCACTAAGATTAAACTGCAGCAAGGAAGGATTAGGTTGGACATTAAGAAAAACTTCCTGTTTAGGTTGGTTAAACACTGGAATAAATTGCCTTGGGAGGTGGTAGAATCTCCATCATTGGAGATTTTTAAGAGCAGGTTGGACAAATACCTGTCAAGAGTGGTTTAAATGATGCATGGTCCTGTCATGAGTGCAGGACTCAATGACCTCTCAAGGGTCTTTCCAGTTCTACGAGTCTATGAATAAGATTACTGAGTAGCTTGTCATTTTACTCATAAAATTAGTCTTTGTGCTTTTAAAAAAAGATGAAACCAAATAAGCAAAAAAAGCCTTGCTTCTAGGCAGCATATTTTCAGCCTATGAATTGTTCTTTGTTTTGTTAGTCTATAAAGTGCTACCAGACCATTTGTTGTTTTTTAATAAAAGATTATTACTTTTCCACACTAAAATACAGGTTGAACCTCCCTGATCTGGCACTCTTGGGACCTGACCGGTCCCAAATAAGGAAGGTTGTTGGACCAGTGCAGGTCACCGCTGGCCTGGCTGGGCTCCCCAGATCAGCTGCAGACACCAGCCCTGCTGCAGCCAGCTTGATAGAGTTTCTACCCCCTGCAGGGTTCCAATCCTCCAGCTTCCTGCTGCTGGACTCCTGGCCACCAGGACATCCTGGTCCAGGAATATCCATGGTGCTACTGTGCCAGAGAGTCATGGTTTTGAGAGGTTTAGCCTGTATGAAAAGCATAAAGTGTATGGAAAGAAGCATGTTCATGTATAAAACACATAAGCATAACAAAGGGATTTATTTCTGTCAAATGCACCCTTTGTTTGATATCACATATGGAGATTCTAAATGTAACCTCAGTTTTCTGCTTGTATTATTTCAGAAATCAAAGAAATGTAAATCAGCAGAATTGGTCTCTCAACAAGACATCACTGAAGGTAACATTGTTACAGCTACAATTTACATTTGGCTTCTGGATATTTTAACAAATTAGCTTTAGTTTTAGCTTTTTTTCTTCTGCAGATTCTCCAGGACCATCAGAAGTAAAGACTGCAAAAGGTGACATGAACACTAATTTTGGAGAAAGGAAACAGATTGTCTTTACAAAGAGTACAGGTTGGTGTGTGTGTTTCAGTTTAACTGGGAAAGTTTTCATAAGCTGTTTTCCTGTGTTCAGATATTACTAGAGCGCCTTTGCTTGGGAAATTTGGTCCTAAATAGCTACTAGGTTTTACCTTGTCTCCCTGTGTGTGCTCAAACTCCTTGAAAATTCTAATGCAAGCATGTGCAGTATTAGAAGCCCAGTAGGAGGTAAAATTCTAACATTTGTGCATACATGGATGTGTTAAAACTTTCCAAATGTACAAGTGTTTGTGCAGAGTATAATCCAGTCTTTGCATGGGCACTGGAAGCCTTAATCTGACAATTAGGTATATAGTATAATCTATATTTTCTTTCTGTGTGTCTGTTTTACCAAATATATCTCAATCAGTTCCACTTTGTGGTGCTAATGCCATTATTTAGGAGTTGAAGAAGATTGTTTACTACCAAAAAGTTCACCAAGCAAATCAAAATATTTCTTTTCAAACCATAAAAACATCTGTTATGCTAAAAGTAATGTAAAAACACTTCTCAAAATATATGACCGTCTGAGATATTTGCTTAATGTGTCATTAGAAGAGGGGGTCTTAATATACAATAATATACATGGTTTTCATTACCAATTCAAGTTTTTTAGGATTTATCTTGTTGGTAAACATATTCTAAATATTCAAAGTGTATGCGGGATCTTTAACATTTGCAGAAAATTTGTTTATTTCCTATTAAATCTTTTGACATTCCGATAAAACTAAAACTAACCAGCTTTGGATATATTAATAACTTTACTGCTATTATGCCACATGTCAGATCACTGCAAAGTAACTTTAAGGACCTACCTAATGTATTCAGCAGCAGTCATGCAGTTAAGATTATATTTGGCTACCCATTAGTCCAGAGAGTAGCAGTAAGAGTTTAGGTAATACATATGGCATAATGTAATGTCTCTAATTCATATTGACTTTTTAACCAGAGCTATAAAAATGAGCATATTTTAAAGGTTAGAAATGAGATTCAGAATCATGTAAGTTTCAAGAGAAAACACTTTGAAGAGAAAGTCATCTAATGTTGGATGAATCCAGAGATAGTTACAAGATTGTCAGCTAAATCATGAATAATAGTGCCTCTGTGAAGTATGCAGAGTATTTTCATTACAAGTGTCTAACCCCTGCCTCTTCCCAAAAAACTACTGAGCACTTCAGTTTATAAATGATTATTCTTAAATTAATATTTTAGCCCAAATTATTATTATTGCTAATAGACATGTAGTAGTATACTAACTCTAACATTGTTTAAAATAATTTCACAGTGCACATTATGTAAAGGAATAATTGTTTGACCTATTTGAAATAAGTCATTTTTTATATGTCTGTAGGCTAGATTGCATTAATGAATTGAAAAAAATCCAATAAGAGAGAAGAAAACCTGAGTAGGTTAGGAGTAGGGTTGAAATTAATTTTCTTACTGTTGGGCCCTAAAATTTCCATGGATTTATGGGACGCATTTTGATTCTTTTATATATCCTGATGCAGTAGTCATTCTTGGTGGGTATCTTGGAGTTCTTGCTCTCCAAGATGAGGATAAATCACTTCATGGAGTTGTTTTTCAGGGGAGGGATGGGTACTGGGATTTGGATAGCATTGTTTCGTCCATTAATCCTCTCCATATATTTAAGAGGGCATTTTCCAAGCACCAGTTAGATCATCCCTGATAGATGTCTATCCAACCTGCTCTTACATATCTTCAGTGAGAGAGATTCCACAACCTCCCTAGGCAATTTATTCCCAGTGTTTAACCACCCTGACAGGAAGTTTTTCCTAATGTCCAATCTAAACCTCCCTTGCTGCAATTTAAGCCTGTTGCTTCTTGTCCTGTCCTCAGAGGCCAGGGAGAACAATTTTTCTCTCTCCTCCTTGTAACACCCCTTTAGATGCTTGAAAACAGCTATCATGTCCTCTCTGTCTTCTTTTTCTGAAACTAAACAAGCCCTCTGTCTTCCCTCATAGGTCATGTTCTCTAGACCTTTAATGATTTTTGTTTCTCTTCTCTGGACCTTCTCCAGTTTCTCCACATCTTTCTTGAAACTGGACACAATAATTCAGTTGAGGCCTAATCAGTGCAGAGTAGAGCGGAAGAATGACTTCTCGTGTCTTGCACACAACACTCCTGTTAATCCATCCCAAAATCATCTTTGCTGCTTTTTTGCCCTTTTTTTTTTTCAACAGTGTCATACTGTTGACTCATATTTAGCTTGCAGTCCACTATAACCCCTAAATCCCTTTCTGCAGTACTCCTTCCTAGATAGTCACTTCTTATTCTGTATGTCTGAAACTGATTATTCCTTTTTAAGAGGAGTACTTTGCATTTGTCCTTATTAAACTTCATCCTATTTACCTAGACCATTTCTCTAGTTTGTCCAGATCATTTTGAATTATGAACCTATCCTCCAAAGCACTTGCAACCCTCCCATCTTGGTGTCATCTGCACATTTAATAATCGTACTCTCTATGCCATCATCTCAATCATTGATGAAGATATTGAACAGAACTGGTCCCAAAACAGACCCCTGCGGAACCCCACTTGTTATGCCTTTCCAGCATGATTTTGAATGGTTAATAACTACTCTCTGAGAACGGTTATCCAGCCAGTTATGCACCCACCTTATAGCAGCCCCATCTAGGTTGTATTTCCCTAGTTTATTGATAAGAAGGTCATGAGAGACCATGTCAAATGCCTTACTAAGTCTAGTTATACCAGGTCCACTGCTTCTCCCTTATCCACAAGGCTTAATATCCTATCAAAGAAAGCTGTCACTTTGGTTTGACATGATTTATTCTTTACAAATCCATCCTGGCTGTTTCCTGTCACTTTATTATCTTCCAGATGTTTGCAGATTAATTCCTTAGTTACTTGCTTCATTATCTTCCCTGGCACAGATGTTAAACTGAATGGTCTGTAATTTCCTATGTTGTTCTTATTTCCCTTTTTATAGATGGGCACTATATTTGCCCTTTTCCAGTCTTCTGGAATCTCTTCTGCCTTCCATGATTTTTCAAAGATGATAGCTAAAGCTTCAGAAACCTCCTCTATCAGCTCCTTGAGTATTCTAGGATACATTTAATCAGGTCCTGGTAATTTGAAGACATCTAACTTTTCTAAGTTATTTTTAACTTGTTCTTTTTTTAAATTTTAATTTCTAAACCAAACCCATTTCCATGATCATTCAATGTTAGGCATCCTGTCACCATCAATCTTCTTGACGAAAATTGAAACGAAGTTATGCACCTCTGCCATTTCCAAGTTTCCTCTTATTGTTTCTCCTTTTTCACTGAGCAATGGGCCTACCCTGTCCTTGGTCTTCCTCTTGCTTCTAATATATTTGTAGAATGTCTTCTTGTTACCCTTTATATCTCTAGCTAGACTGAGCTCATTTTATGCCTTTGCCTTTCTAACCTTTCCTCTGCATACCTGTGTTATTTGCTTATATTCATTCTCTGTAATTTGATCTAGTTTCCACTTTTTATACAACTCCTTTTTTATTTTTAGATCATACAAGATCTCCTGTTTGATCCAAGGTGATTTCCTGCCATACTTTCTGTCTTTCCTATGCAGTGGAATAATTTGCTTTTGGGCCCTTTTATAAAACTGCCAGCTCTCTTCAGTTGTTTGTCCTCTTAGTCTTGCTTTCTATGGGATCTTTCCTACCAGGTCTCTGAGGATATGTCTACACTGCAGAGTTTTTCTGGAAAAATGGCCGTTTTTCCGGAAAAACTACACTTACGTCCATACTGCTGTAGCATTCTTTCGACTCAAAGTAGAATGAATGGAGGGGTTTTTCCAACAGCAGTAAATCTTTTTCTATGAGGAAGAAGCCTTTTTTGGAAAAAGCTTTTTCGGAAAAAGGCATGTGTGGACGTGGAAGAGAGTGTTTTTTTTGAAAGAAGAGCCCCCAGGAAAAAGCATAGGTGCCCTGGTGGCCACTCCATCCACAGTAGTCACAGCTGAAATGCGAGAGAGCTTCCAGTCAATGTGGATGCTGTCTTTCGAAAAAGCACATTACTTTTTCATTGCGCTTTTGCTGTGTAGATGTTCTCTTTCAAAAAAAGTTTTTCCAGAAGATCTCTTCTGGAAAAGCTTCTTCTGAAAGAAGCTTGCTGTCTAGACATATCGTGAGTTTACAGAAATCTGCCTTCCTGAAATCCATTGTCTCTATTTTGCTATTCTCCCTTCTATAATTCCTTAGAATTGTGAACTCTGTGATTTCATGATCACTTTCACCCAAGCTGCCTTTCACTTTCAAATTTTCAACCAGTTCCTCCCTATTTGTTAAAATCAAATAAAAAACAGCTTCCCTCCCTACAAATTACATAAACTAGAATCTTGTATGCTATCTTATACATTCAGGTCAGATTTCTGAATCAAGCCATCAATAAATTTATCTTTCAGAGGTGCAAAAATGATTTTTTATCTCTTAGGTATGTTTTAGATTTGCAAATTAGAGAAAACTATATATTTTTTTCCTTCCCTAACAGCTAATGGAAGTTCTTCAACATCAGGAAAAGTCAGTAAAGTGTTAGCTGGCACCACCAAGAGATCCATTGCCGACCGTGAGGAGAAATCAGAGGCGTACAAGTCTATTTTTACGTCACACAGCTCAGCAAAGCGCTCAAAGGAAGAGTCTTCCAATTGGATTACTCACACAGCATACTATTTCTGAAACAATACTTTGCATAATTGTAACAGTCATTGCTGCTTTTCTTCCCTGAGGCTTTTTCTGTATAACTCTGATGCAGGAGTTTCATTGTATTCTGAAGCTATCTGGAATTACTCACTTTGCAAGTTGTTTATAAACTTCTGAATAACCAGTGTACTTCTCTTTGTATTAATTAAGACACTGCTTAGTAACAATAAAAAAACTCCACAATATTTTCTTTCTTACGTTAACTAATTTGGCTGTAGTCAAAACCAGTACACTTCTCTCTCAAAGGTGCTGGTGATTACTTTGTTGGGTGTCAGGGTGGAATCATTTGGAAAGCTTGGTGCCATCTCAGAAATAAAGTAAAAACTTTTACAATAGTCTCATCTTCCATTTAAAAAGAGAATGTCAATGGGGAACATGTTTTGTTGTTTACTGTAAAAAAAAAAAAAAAAAAAAAAAAAATGTAAAACCTCCAAAATGGTTGTTTTTCCCCCCAAAAAGTGTTCTAGTTTTTTTCCCTCTTAGGGTATGTCTACACTTACACCCTCTTTCAAGAGGGGGATGCAAATGAAGACATTTGAAATTGCAAATGAAGCCGGGATTTAAATATCCCATACTTTATTTGCATAATCGCATTATGGCGCTATTTCGAAATACAAAACACTGTTTAGATGTGGTTTTCGGGAGAACACCCTTCTTCCAAAATAACCCTTATTCCTCATAAAATGAGGTTTAACAGTTATTTCGGAAGAAGGATGTTCTCCCAAAATAACCGCATCTACACTGCGTTTTGTATTTCGAAATAGCGCCAAAATGCAATTATGAAAATGAAGCACGGGATATTTAAATCTCAGCTTCATTTGCAATTTCGAATGTCTTCATTTGCATCCCTCTCTCAAAAGAGAGTGCAAGGTAGACATACCCCCACATTAGCAATATCAAGTCTGGGCTTCCATCTTTTGTTGGAGAATGCTGGAGAACTGTCAACGTATGCTGAAACTTGTGCTGGAGCTTTCTTCTTCTCAATTGAAAATAGCACTGAGGTTGGGTAAATTAAGTAGCAATTTACTTTTAATTAAAACAAATTGATGGATGCAAATCTTTTTAGCTAAACTGAAAAATATGAACATAGTATCATAAGTTTGGATGTTTTGTGAAGATGGAGAAGCATTTAGTTCATCTGGTTAAAGCTATTTTCTAAGCCTAGCATATGTTCCCACAGCTCCCATTATCTGGGAATGGTGAGCCACAGCCAATGGGAGCTGCAAATGGCCGTACTATGGATGCACAGATAAATAAAGCACCTGGTGTTTTGCCAGGGATTAACCCTGGTAAACCGTATCCAGCTCGCAGGCCACTTATATTTCACCCTGTGTTAGGCAGTCTAATTTCAGTCGAAGTCAAAATTACCTACATAAAATCGGGTGATTCTATGGGCATGTACCCCAAGGCACAGTGACTTTCTGTTATTTTGGTCAAGTCTGTGCCTATAACGTTGACTGAAATAAGTGGTTGATTTTGTCATATCACAAAGTTTCATGGTAGCCTACGTACATGTCAGTGCTTGAATAGAGCAACTTTTAGACGTCAGTCACCTTTCATTCTCATATTCTTTCCTCTGGTCCTTTTTTAACCTTATTTAGCAATCTTTAAATGTTAACTTTCCACTTCTAGTGACTTAGTGGCCTAACAATACATGATTCAGTTATCCAGTAATATTAAAGGGATTAAAATTAAAACTGGAAGCTACTTTTAGGGTTTTTTAAATGTTCTAGCCTTTTTTCAAATTAACCAACCTAGAATTTAGTAAGCACTAGGCTTTTAAAACTAGTGCACAGTGATGTTACATTGTTACTTTTCTGTGTGACAATAATTAATTAGCCTTCTAATGTATTTTGAAAAGTGTCTTCCTTTATGATCTGCAATAATTAGAAGTTTAGATGATTTGTTTATACTTATCTTTGTGGACTTTGAGATTTGTGTGTGTAGAGTGGAATTGATACTATTTTGTAATTATTGTGATAGACATAATTAGCATTATTTCCACAAGAGTTTGTCATGAAATATAAATGGTAAGCATTTCAGTTGTCCAAAATGTTAACACATAGGATATATACAATTAATATTCCAATCAAGTGAGTTTGAGGTTTAGTTGAGCTTTAAGGAAGTACTTATCCACTTTTTATATGAATATATGTGTCTAACAATTAGCTTTGTTCTTTCCTTTTCTGTATTTTTTCTCTTCATTTTTTTCCTTTATTATGTAAGCACAGACACTGAGTTCAGCATGGTACATATTAGAAAATGGCAGTCTTTTTATCTGCAATTTAATACTGCTTTGATAATGAATAAGTATCAGTGTGTGCAAGCACACATTATTACGATATGTAGTACTCCTATGTGAGAATAGGATAATTTTATCTTGCTTGTTTCTTTGCTAGACCACGTGATGATAGAACTATAAATATATAGCACTTACACCACACAATATTGCATCCCTTTCCTTGACAATATTTTGCTATTTGTTGAATGCACTGATTTCCCTACCATGGTTTAAATCATGCTTTTAGACAAAATCCACTCTGCTCATGTGAGGTATTTTGGTGATTTCCCTCGTCCTGTTTTTATAATGTATTTCATAGTATACTCATGACTTTCATAATTTGATCAAAGTGTTCTTCAACATTCATAAATACCAGGCTGTTCGCATTCTGCTCTTCTTGCAGATTTGTTCTACTCAGAAGTTGAAGTGCTGCTTTTAATTCTCTCTCAGTTTTAAGGTAATTCTGTTTGGTAGTTTAGTATCCAAACTTAGTGGAAGGATTTATTAAACCTTTTATAATTATAGTTGTAAAAGGCTTGTAGATAGCATGTTTTGAGCGTTTTCCCCTTCTTCCCCTTTACAAAAATTTGTGTGAAAAAATTTGGAACATTGTTGGCAGTGACATCCAATGTAATCCATCATCATAACTTATTTTGGTTTATAGAACGTAAGGCTTAATGTAAAAAAGATTGTAAAGAAATGACATTTCTGTTAGCAGACTGAATTAGACCATTGAAGCTAGAGTTGGTGTATCTTTAACTGATGAAACAAAAATATTTGCTTGAGAGAGTGCTTGCTTATTTGTTAGTACTTTGCAATTGATTTATTTTATTGAGTTTTAATGCTAATAAAAGTTGAAGGACTGGAGAAGCTTGGAGTTTGAAAACTGCTTTGTTCTCATTACAGGTACAACATAGGTAGTGCCAGTGCAAGCTCTCCACAGAATTGCCTCCAAGTGATTCAACTTAGTAAAATGGCTCAACTTAGTAAAACAATAGTAAAATGGGTGAACTAGAGTGCCTCGTCTTAAAGGTGGATATTGATATAATAGGCATCACGGAAAATTGGTGGAATGAGGACAATCAATAGGACATAGTCATACCAGGGTACAAAATATATTAGAAGGACAGAGCAGGTCGTGCTGGTGTGGTAATGGCACTATACGTGAAAGAAAATGTAGACTGATCGAGATTCTAAAGGAGCACTCAGATATGATAGTCATAGCCAAAAAGCTAAATGAATTCTTTGCTTCAGTCTTCGTGGCTGAGGATTTTGGGGAAATTCCCAAACCTGAGCCATTCTTTTTAGGTGACAAATCTGAGGAATTGTCCTAGATTGAGGTGTCATTAGAGGAGGTTTTGGAACAAATTGATAAACTTAACAGTAATAAGTCACCAGGACCAAATGGCATTCATCCAAGAGTTTTGAAAGAGCTCAAATGGGAAATTGCGGAACTATTAACTGTGGTTTGTAACCTATACTTTAAATCAGCTTCCATACCTAATGACTGGAAGATAGCTAATGTGATGCCAGTATTTAAAAAGGTCTCTAGAGGTGATCCTGGCAATTACAGACCAGTAAGGCTAACATCAGTACTGGGCAAATTAGTTGAAACTATAGTAAAGAATAAAATTGTCAGATACCTAGATAAACATCATTTGTTAGGGGAAGTCAACATGGTTTCTGTAAATGGAAATCATGCCTAACTAATCGTCTAGAATTCATTGAGGGGGGTCAACAAACATGGACAAGGGAGATCCAGAGGATATAGTATACTTAGATTTCCAGAAAGCCTTTGACAAGGTCCCTCACCAAAAGCTCTTAAGTAAAGTAAGTTGTCGTGAGATAAAAGGGAAGGTCCTTTTGTGGATTGATAACTGGTTAAAAAACAGGAATCAAAGGGTAGGAATAAATGGTAAGTTTTCTGAGTGGAGAGAGGTGACTAGTGGGGTCCCCCAAGGAGGGTCTGTCCTGGGACCCATCCTATTCAATGTATTTATAAATGATCTAGAGAAAGGGGTAAACAGTGAAGTAGCAAAATTTGCAGATGATACCAAACTGCTCAAGATAGTTAAGACTAAAGCAGACTGTGAAGACCTTCAAAAAGATGTCACCAAACTAAGTGAGTGGGCAACAAAATGGCACAAGAAATTTAATGTTGATAAATGCAAAGTAATGCACATTAGGGAAAAAATAATCCAAACTATCCATGCAATATGATGGGGACTAATTTGGCTACAACTATTTGAGAGAGATATTGGAGTCATTGTGGATAGTTCTCTGAAAACATCTACTCAGTGTGCAGCAGCAGTCAAAAAAACAAAAACAAATAGAATGTTAGGAATAATTTAAAAAGGGAGAGAATAAGACAGAACATATATTATTGCCTCTATATAAAACCATGGTATGCCCACACCTTGAATAATGCATATAGATGTGATCGCCTCATGTCAAAAAAGATGTATTGGCATTGAAAAAGGTTCAGGAAAAAGTCAAGAAAAATTATTAGAGGTTTGTAACGGGTCCCATATGAAGAGAGATTAAAAAGACTTGGACTTTTCAGCTTAGAATTGAGGAGACTAAGGGGGGATATGATAGAGGTCTATAAAATCATGACTGGTATTAAAAAAGCGAATAAGGAAAAGTTATTTACTCATTTTCACAATATAAGAATTAGGAGGTCATCAAATAAAATTAATAGGCAGCAGGTTTAAAACAAACAAAAGGTAGTTTTTCTTCACTCAGCACACAGTCAACCTGTGGAACGCCTTGCCAGAGGATGTGGTGAAGGCTAGGACTTTAACAGGGTTTTAAAAAGAGCTAGATAGATTCATGGAGGTTAGGTCCATTATTGGCTTTAAGCCAAGATGGGTAGGAATGATGTGTCTAGCCTCTGTCTGGATATGGGTGACGAGACAGATCACGTGAGGATTATTTGTTGTGATCCCTTCCTCTAGGGTATTTGGTATTGGCCGCTGTCGGCGGACAGGATACTGGTCTAGATGGACCTTTGGTCTGATTCAGTATGGCCACTCTTATGTTCTTAACTCTGTTCTAGGAGGATTCAAAAGCAGTTAATTCTGTTTCCATGCAGATCAAACTTTGACCTGTCTGCTGAGACTGCTAAAAGGCTCCAGGT